TGGTTTCGTAGAAGTGGGCCAATAGTATCTATTTCGTATTTGACCTAAGTCTGATGTACAGCGTGAGATGAAAAAACTGCAACCAACATTAGACTGCTATCATTTCTAAGCCACTCGTCCGATAGCTGTTAAAATTATTCCAGTGACTGCTCATTATATTGTTTACAAGCGTACGAAAGCATTTTGGTGAGAATTTTCCAGAAATAAGTTATTCGTGATGGAATTTAAGCGTAATAGTGTGATTTCTTTATATTTGGCTGGAAAACCACTAATGGCTATCGTTACAGCACTTCAGCATTTAAATGTGAATAAATCTTTTGTGTCTCGTACCATCGCTCGTTACCGTGATGCTGGTAGCGTAGCTCGACGTTCAAAGTAAAGAAGCGACTTGATCGAAATCCGCGTCGCAGTGGCCGAAAAATAGCTTGTGAACTGAACATATCGCAATATCCCATTCGGCAAATATTAAAAAATGAGCTCGGGGAAAACCCATTGACATTCCAAAAAGTGCAAGAACTTACACCTCAACAGAGAGAAAGAAGACTCAAATGAGCTAAAGAGTTGCTTGCTTGGCCGAAAGTGGTAAACTGTCGAATTTGGTTTTCTCCGATGAGAAAACATTCTTGTCCAGCAGTTTGTAAACAAACAAAACGATCGTGTTTACTTGCCAAAGAGGTCAGCTGAAAATGTGCATCTTCTTTTGGCCAACAGAACTCAAGCGCCGGTCTGGCGATGGGGTGGGCAGCCGTAACAGCCGATGCTCGCTCTCCGCTCGTATTGATCGACCGTGGTTTCAGAATAAATGCTGAATATTATCGCGAAAATATTCTTAGGCACGCAAAGATTTTGGCCGCAGTCCTTGGACATTCCAACAGGACTCGGCACCATTGCATTCAGCACGCGCCACCCAAAAATGGTTAAAAATAAGGCTCCTCGTTTTATTTCCAGGACACAATGGCCCCCAAAATTTCCGGCAACCAATCTGTTGGACTATTGTGTCTGGAGTATTTTGGAAAGCAAGGTTGGCACTAAAAAATACCAAAGTTTCGATCACCTCAAGCAAGCACTTCGTCAGGAATGGGCCAAAATACCGCAGAGCAACATTCGGGCAGCGTGTGACGGTTTCATTGGCCGTTTAAAGGCCATAATTCATGCCAAAGGTGACCAGTTCGAGCAAATCTGATCTTATTCTAAAATGTGATGTCATTCCCGACATTTTATGCTTTCATTTAATAAAATTTAGAAAAAGAAATTATGTCGATTGACTTTGTTGCATTTTTTTATCTCAACCTGCATATACGTATTTCTTAATGAAAATTCCGCATTAAAGTACTATTTTTAAGTTTTGGCCACGTGTGCCATTTAATTTCGCCAAATTTTGAGAATTTGAGTTCTTTTTACATAGAAGCACTAATTTGAAAAAAATCAATGTGGGCCTATCTTGTGGTACAGCCCTTATAAACAGATGTTCCTGATTTTAAATTAAATATAAAAAGATTTCTGAAATTTGATATTCATATTTGTACTTAAAGTACAAATGGTACTACATGAAGGAATGGAGCTGAAATATGAAAATAAATATAGATATCACTGCTATCACTGGAAATGTGTACTACAATTGTTCGAAAAGTACTAAATTGTGCTCAGTTTGGTATAGAGTAAAGGAAAAAAGTCCAAGTTTGTGAACATTATTTTTTTTAACAAATTAACAAATATTTTCCTATTTTTTCTGAACATTTTAGTGACCTATACACAAAATTGATGAAGAATATTTTTGTCTTCGACGTCCTCCTTCCATAATGATGATATGTACGACTTGAACTCTCAAATGTGTTTTTAATATATATGAATTCCTGGCGTTCAATTAAAATTTAGATCCTTGACGTCCATTAGAACCTCTAGAAGGATTTTATGATAAGTAATTGTGTGGAGTTTTTAACCATGTTTTGAAAACGGACCAAAGGGGCCTTTGTTGACTCGCTCGAAGGTTACACTTTTCGGCCAAAATATTAATTTTATTTTGCAACTTTGCCGAAAACGCACCGATTGAGAGGCACCTTAACCCGAAAATTTCTAATTGTATGGAAGAAGAAGTGCCGACATATTAACTCTACTTTTCGTTGTAAACTTTTTATTACTTTTACTTAATAATCTGATGAATCTTCCCCGTTATTATTGTAAAAATTTAACTTTGTCGCACAGTGTTGGCATACCAAATTTCAAATTTTTAGCTCTATCCACTCACATGCTACCAAATGGTGCCACTTTAGATGTTAAGTACCACTTTGGAAATTTTCGTAATATTAAACTTCGAATTTCCAAAAAACCTTTTGGTGCATCTACCTTGCATGCTATCACTGACTCTCATTCCAAGTTTGTTTCATTTTGTCCAATACAATAATTACATGTTTTTGGTACATTGTGCTACTTATCTTACCCTTTTAGTACGAATTTCCAAAAACTCAGTTTTATCACACTTTTAGCATCAGCCGTTTCGTCTGGACGTAGATTCTTCTTCTTCGCTACTTATTTATATATAAAGATTGATATTGGAAGTGATTGTGATTTAAAGCCATTATTATTTAAAAATATTTTGACTTCTGTTATAATTATTCAAAGGTTTAACCCCTTATGCAGTTGTCCCCGAAGGAATTGGCCAATATTGGCGATTTCGTTTCGGACCTAAATAAAAATATATATGATAATATGATATAAAAATTGCGACGTGCTAGGTTTGGACTGTGTTGTGTTAATGGAAATTTTGGGATGTACCAAGTCTTGAATAGAATCGGATGTCAATTTCGCTATTTATGAGCTTAATGGGTATTCAAAATTTTGAGCCTTTGTGGGGGACTACCAGATGGAGTGGACCGATATATCCCATATTCGCAACGGATCTTCTGTTGGTGGAAATAATGGGATGTGTGAAATATAAAGAGAACTTGAAGCTTTTTTCGGATTTTATAAACGATTTGGGTTTTTAAAACATTGACCCTTTGTGGGGGAGGTAGCAGGAGGAATGGTCCGATCTCTACCGTTTTTTTAAAACAAATCCAAGTCTAAATGGAATACGATGTTAATTTCGCGTTTTATGAGCTTAATGGATATTCAAAATTTCGACCTTTTGTGGGGGAGGTACCAGAAGGGGTGGACCAATATATTCCATCTTAACACCAGAGCTTGGGTTTGTATAAATATTGGGATGTGTGAAATTTGATTACAATCGGATACTTACATCACATTTTATAAGACTTAAATTTATTCAAAATGTTTACCCTTTGTGGGGGATGTACTTGATGGAGTGGACCGATATTATCCATTTGTGCACCTGACGTAGCACTGATAGAAACATTAGGATTTGCAAAGTTGGAGCTAACCCGAATTATCGCTTCTCTTTCCGTGCAGAAAAAACTTTTTTTTTTTTTAAATTTCGAACTTTTGTGGGGGAGGTACCAGAAGGAGTTGCCGATATGTTCTATCTTAACATCAGATCTTGGGTTTATGAAAATATTGTAATGGGTGAAATTTTAAGACAATCGGCTTCTTGTATCAAATTTTATAAGACTTATAATTATTCAAAATTTTTACCCTTTGTGGAGGAGGTACTTGATGGAGTGGACCGATATTATCCATTTTTACACCTGACGTTTATCGTTTCTCTTTCTGTGCAAAAAATATATTTTTTTTAAAATTTCGAACTTTTGTGGGGGAGGTACCAGAAGGAGTGGACCAATATTGTCCATTTTCGCACAAGACCTAGCACTGACGCAAATATTAGGATTTGCAAAGTTGGACCAAATCGGATTATAGTTTCTCTTTCTGTGCAAAAAAAAAATATTTTTTTTTAAATTTCGACCATTTGTGGGGGAGGTACCAGAAGGAGTGGACCGATATTGCCCATCTCCGAAATCGATCTTAGTTTGACAAAAATATTACGATGTACCAAGTTTGGACCAAATCGGATACTCCCTAAGAGAGTTATCGTGCGCACCAGCCAGCCAGACAGACGGACGGATGGACGGACATCGCTAGATCGACTCCAAATGTTCTGAAACGGATTTGGTCCAAAGAGACTTAGGGTTTAAAACGGTTATTTCGACTAGGCACATTTTGACCGTATCAAATGATATATACCCTCTGTAGCCATATGGCTGAGGGTATAAAAAAAACTGAAACCTTCGAAATACCGAAAATTAGGAGGTATCATTATTTGGGGGCTATACCTAAACATGGACCAATATATTTCAATTTCAATACCATACATCCAAGAAAGAAACCTTAAAATTGATTCGAATTTTTTTAAATTCTTTGCCCTTACATGCATGCATACACATGTATACGGTTCTGTTTTTGTTTTTCCCAATCCAAGTTCAATTGATTTCACCGTCGTCGTCGTCTTCTCGTGAATGGTTTGTTGTTTCTTTTGTAATCGTTTGCATTTCTTCTTCATTTTCTTTGCCTTTCATGGCATACCGCTTATATCGTTTGTCCTTTCACAAATTGGACATCAACGTTTTGAAAGGACCAAGAAGCAACCACTCTGTGTTCGTTCGGCTTTTATAGATTTGACTTTGCAATGAATGACTGGACGGCTATTATCGACCCCATACTTGGCCACCAATTCTTGGCGAGCTTTTTCTTCCGTTATTTTTTTCTTGTTGTTGTTTGTTGGGCATGATGATATGTGAATGTTGATGCTTTTGAGTATTATCAACTTTTCATTATAGCCATTGCCTCTGCCTGCCTGCTGCCTTCCACGCTGGCATTCATTCATTTGGTCTGCCAGCTTTTTTACATTTTTCCATCATTTGTTTCAGACAAACTACATACATATGCTGATGTTGTTGGTTTTTTTTTTTGGTCGTATTATGTAGTTGTAGCTTTCATTCCTTTTCTATGCTGTCGTCTGAGTTTTAATCCCCTTCTTTTTTTCGTTTTTTTGTTCTTCTTCCTCTTTTCATCTTTTGTTCTGTTTTCTTTGCATGTGTCCTTAATTAAAGACATTCCGTGAATTGCTCCACAGCATGCTGGCACTGCAGAAACTCAAAGATGACAATGCCGCTGCCCTGTTCGATATGTTATTGAACAATGTCTGCTATGTCCTGGAGTATCGGGAGACGATATTGCATTTGTTAATGAACTACAATGAGACGCACAGTACCAAGTAAGTATTATTAAGTAAATATATATGTGTATCTATATCTAAATGTGTATGTGTATAGTGTCATAATGTAGATGTGTAAGAAGTATAAATAGAAAGGTGGTAAGTTATTTGGAAAGATGGAAGTATGTTACCCTATTTAAAAGATGACCAGTTTTTGGGAAAAATATATCTAGGGAACTTTAGAAAGAAACAAAGCACAAAAAATTCAGTACCCGTATTTTAATTTAATGATCTTAATTTCCTTGGGACTAGGTTTTTTTTTTATTAAGAAGAGGCTCAGGAGTTTTTCTATAGAGCAAAAAATCAGCAGAGTATAAGGACCATATTTGTATAGAGAAAAAAAAAAATCAGCAGTCCTTAGGGAATGTTCTTCTATAAAAAAATCAATAGTCCCCAGGGACAGTTCTCCTATAGAAAAAAAGACAAAAGTCCCTAGGGATTGTTCTTCTATAAAAAAAAAAATCGCAGCTCCCTAGGGACTTTTTTCCTATAGAAAAAATCATCAGTCCCTAGGGACTTATTCCTATAGAAAAAAATCACTAGTCCCTAGGGACTTATTCCTATAGAAAAAATCAACAGTCACTAGGGACATTTTTTCTAAAGAAAAAATCAACAGTCCCTAGGGACTTTTTTCTATGGAAAAAAATCAACAGTCCCTAGGGACTTTTTTTCTATAGAAAAAAATCAACAGTCCCTAGGGACTTTTTTTTTTTTGTAGAAAAAAATCAACAGTCCCTAGGGACTTTTTTTTCTATAGAAAAAAATCAACAGTCCCTAGGGACTTTTTTTTCTATAGAAAAAAATCAACAGTCCCTAGGGACTTTTTTTTCTATAGAAAAAAATCAACAGTCCCTAGGGACTTTTTTTCTATAGAAAAAAATCAACTGTCCCTAGGGACTTTTTTTTCTATAGAAAAAAATCAACAGTCCCTAGGGACTTTTTTTTCTATACAAAAAAATCAACAGTACCTAGGGACTTTTTTCTATAGAAAAAAATCAACAGTCCCTAGGGACTTTTTTTTCTATAGAAAAAAATCAACAGTCCCTAGGGACTTTTTTTTCTATACAAAAAAATCAACAGTCCCTAGGGACTTTTTTCTATAGAAAAAAATCAACAGTCCCTAGGGACTTTTTTTCCTATAGAAAAAAAATCAACAGTCCCTAGGGACTTTTTTTCCTATAGAAAAAAAATCAACAGTCCCTAGGGACTTTTTTTCTATAGAAAAAAATCAACAGTCCCTAGGGACTTTTTTTCTATAGAAAAAAATCAAGAGTTCCTAGGGACTTTTTTTCTATAGAAAAAAATCAAGAGTTCCTAAGGACTTTTTTTCTATAGAAAAAAATCATCAGTCCCTAGGGACTTTTTTTCTATAGAAAAAAATCATCAGTCCCTAGGGACTTTTTTTCTATAGAAAAAAATCATCAGTTCCTAGGGACTTTTTTTCTATAGAAAAAAATCATCAGTTCCTAGGGACTTTTTTTCTATAGAAAAAAATCATCAGTTCCTAGGGACTTTTTTTCTATAGAAAAAAATCATCAGTCCCTAGGGACTTTTTTTCTATAGAAAAAAATCACCTGGCCCTAGGGACTTTTTTCCTATAGAAAAAAATTACCTGGCCCTAGGGACTTTTTTCCTATAGAAAAAAAATCACCTGGCCCTAGGGACTTTTTTCCTATAGAAAAAAAATCACCTGGCCCTAGGGACTTTTTTCCTATAGAAAAAAATCAACTGGCCCTAGGGACCTTTTTCCTATAGAAAAAAATCACCTGGCCCTAGGGACTTTTTCCTATAGAAAAAAATCACCTGGTCCTAGGGACTTTTTTCCTATAGAAAAAATCACCTGGTCCTAGGGACTTTTTTCCTATAGAAAAAAATCACCTGGTCCTAGGGACTTTTTTCCTATAGAAAAAAATCACCTGGTCCTAGGGACTTTTTTCCTATAGAAAAAAATCACCTGGCCCTAGGGACTTTTTTCCTATAGAAAAAAATCACCTGGCATTAGGGACTTTTTTCCTATAGAAAAAAATCACCTGGCCCTAGGGACTTTTTTTCTATAGAAAAAAATCATCAGTCCCTAGGGACTTTTTTTCTATAGAAAAAAATCATCAGTCCCTAGGGACTTTTTTTCTATAGAAAAAAATCATCAGTCCCTAGGGACTTTTTTTCTATAGAAAAAAATCATCAGTCCCTAGGGACTTTTTTTCTATAGAAAACAATCATCAGTCCCTAGGGACTTTTTGTCTATAGAAAAAAATCATCAGTCCCTAGGGACTTTTTTTCTATAGAAAAAAATCATCAGTTCCCAGGGACTTTTTTTCTATAGAAAAAAATCATCAGTTCCTAGGGACTTTTTTTCTATAGAAAAAAATCATCAGTTCCTAGGGACTTTTTTTCTATAGAAAAAAATCATCAGTCCCTAGGGACTTTTTTTTCTATAGAAAAAAATCATCAGTTCCTAGGGACTTTTTTTCTATAGAAAAAAATCATCAGTTCCTAGGGACTTTTTTTCTATAGAAAAAAATCATCAGTTCCTAGGGACTTTTTTTCTATAGAAAAAAATCATCAGTCCCTAGGGACTTTTTTTCTATAGAAAAAAATCATCAGTCCCTAGGGACTTTTTTTCTATAGAAAAAAATCATCAGTCCCTAGGGACTTTTTTTCTATAGAAAAAAATCATCAGTCCCTAGGGACTTTTTTTCTATAGAAAAAAATCATCAGTCCCTAGGGACTTTTTTTCTATAGAAAAAAATCATCAGTCCCTAGGGACTTTTTTTCTATAGAAAAAAATCATCAGTCCCTAGGGACTTTTTTTCTATAGAAAAAAATCATCAGTTCCTAGGGACTTTTTTTCTATAGAAAAAAATCATCAGTTCCTAGGGACTTTTTTTCTATAGAAAAAAATCATCAGTTCCTAGGGACTTTTTTTCTATAGAAAAAAATCATCAGTTCCTAGGGACTTTTTTTCTATAGAAAAAAATCATCAGTCCCTAGGGACTTTTTTTCTATAGAAAAAAAATCACCTGGCCCTAGGGACTTTTTTCCTATAGAAAAAAATCACCTGGCCCTAGGGACTTTTTTCCTATAGAAAAAAATCACCTGGCCCTAGGGACTTTTTTCCTATAGAAAAAAAATCACCTGGCCCTAGGGACTTTTTTCCTATAGAAAAAAAATCACCTGGCCCTAGGGACTTTTTTTCTATAGAAAAAAATCATCAGTCCCTAGGGACTTTTTTTCTATAGAAAAAAATCATCAGTCCCTAGGGACTTTTTTTCTATAGAAAAAAATCATCAGTCCCTAGGGACTTTTTTTCTATAGAAAAAAATCATCAGTTCCTAGGGACTTTTTTTCTATAGAAAAAAATCATCAGTTCCTAGGGACTTTTTTTCTATAGAAAAAAATCATCAGTTCCTAGGGACTTTTTTTCTATAGAAAAAAATCACCTGGCCCTAGGGACTTTTTTCCTATAGAAAAAAAATCACCTGGCCCTAGGGACTTTTTTCCTATAGAAAAAAAATCACCTGGCCCTAGGGACTTTTTTCCTATAGAAAAAAATCAACTGGCCCTAGGGACCTTTTTCCTATAGAAAAAAATCACCTGGCCCTAGGGACTTTTTCCTATAGAAAAAAATCACCTGGTCCTAGGGACTTTTTTCCTATAGAAAAAAATCACCTGGTCCTAGGGACTTTTTTCCTATAGAAAAAAATCACCTGGTCCTAGGGACTTTTTTCCTATAGAAAAAAATCACCTGGTCCTAGGGACTTTTTTCCTATAGAAAAAAATCACCTGGTCCTAGGGACTTTTTTCCTATAGAAAAAAATCACCTGGTCCTAGGGACTTTTTTCCTATAGAAAAAAATCACCTGGCCCTAGGGACTTTTTTCCTATAGAAAAAAATCACCTATCCCTAGGGACTTTTTTCCTATAGAAAAAAATCACCTGGCCCTAGGGACTTTTTTCCTATAGAAAAAAATCACCTGGCCCTAGGGACTTTTTTCCTATAGAAAAAAATCACCTGGCCCTAGGGACTTTTTTCCTATAGAAAAAAATCACCTGGCCCTAGGGACTTTTTTCCTATAGAAAAAAATCACCTGGCCCTAGGGACTTTTTTCCTATAGAAAAAAATCAACTGGCCCTAGGGACTTTTTTCCTATAGAAAAAAATCACCAGTCCCAAGGGACTTTTTTTTCTATAGAAAAAAATCAACAGTCCCTAGGGACTTTTTTTTCTATAGAAGAAAATCAACAGTCCCTAGGGACTTTTTTTCTGTAGAAAAAAATCAACAGTCCCCAGGGACTTTTTTTCTATAGAAAAAAATCAACAGTCCCTAGGGTCTTTTTTCCTCTGAACAAAAAGTCAATAGTCTCTAAGGACCTTCTTCCTACAATCAAAAAATTTTTACCCGGGCATCCAAATTTTCCATCACTCCTAACATGTTGCATCCTATGTAGGAGTCAATTTTTCATAGAATATGATATAGCACAAAATGAACATGAACATGCATGTTTTTAACACTAGCAAAAATCAAAAGAGACTCTATTGCATGGAGATGAAGTAGAGAAATACCATCACATATTTGCTAGGACCGACATGCAAGGCTATCTAGTCATGCACACTGGCATACTATAGGACAATGTCCGAAGAAGTGAAGTCCTCTATGCTTCCTCCGAGTTGGCAGAGAAGGAAACAGTATAGCAAAAGAGGGAGGCGAAAAAAAAAACAACTACAGACATTTTCCTTAAATGGTTTGAGGTTTTGATACTTTTTTTATTTTCAAATTACTTTGCTAAAATCCAGTCATAGATAGAAGGACAAATTATTGCAATGGTATGCATAGCATCCAATACATACATAAATACCTATACATTCTGCACTTACATACATGCATACTAACTCGATGACAATGGTGATAATTTTTGAGGTAGAGGATGGCATAACACCATCGAAGCTGAAGTAAATGAGTGTATTTGACTTTTAGTATCGTCCACTTTCTTTTATAATAGG